GAGTAGCAATGAAAATAATTTTATGGTTGGGGGTCACCACAACATGAGGAACTGTATTAAGGGGTCGCGGCATTAGGAAGGTTGAGAACCGCTGTCAAAGGCACAGAATTTGGAAAGATCACAAAAAGATCTGGGAATATTCATTGTTGCTAAAGTATAAACAGTCTGCATTGTGAAGACAAGAATAAATTGTGACAGGTTTCATATGTTAGATGTTATTGTTTCAAGTGGTTATAAAATCCAGTCTATACTGTTTAAGAACACAAATGTATAATATCCTAAAAAGCTGTAGAAACATAGTAAAGGTGCCATCAAAATCAACCTGGAGTCTTAATCAATTTAGTTGTGTGTCTCCTCCACTAACTTGTAATATCCTCAAAAATCAGGGAAAGCAACTTTATTTTTGTTATTAGTGCTTAGTGTTTGGTTCATGGTAATTACCAATGTTTACTAAATGAAGGATAAATGTAAGCTAATATCAGTCTGTTTTTTCAGAGTGATTTGGATTACATAGAAGTTGAACATTGATTTATAGCTATGTCTCAGTTTTTCTTGAAGCATAAAATTTTTGGTTTAATTGAATAATAATTTGGCTTAGAATTTTAAAATATTTTTTCTTAAAATGAATATAAATATTGTCATCGTTTTAGAAAACGAAACTAATATAAGCTGTTCTCTTGTAAGATAAAGAGAAATGCACAAGGTATATTAATTACATGTTAGTATATTTTAATTTACAAAGCACTTCAAATGCAGTATCTTAATTACATTTTAAAACAAGTCAGATTAACAGTTGAAATGGGGGCTGGAGAGATGAGCGAAAATCAATTACAGAGAAATACAGTTACATTAACATTCACACACACAACATCTGGTGTGTTGACATCCTTGTTTTTTGGAAGCAAAGACTTCTAGAGGTATCTATCTAGTGGGCCAGTGGCAGAGATGAGGTTTGCACTCTGATCTTCTGATTTTTTAAGGCCAAAACCATACATTTAAATTAAACTAGAACTTTCCTTGATGCTTTTGTTTTTCAGAGATTGAAACCAACAAATCCAGCAGCCCAGAAGGCTCTCACTACACCTACTCATTATAAACTGACACCTCGCCCTGCCACTAGAGTTCGACCAAAGGCTTTACAAACAACAGGCACAGCCAAGTCAAATCTCTTTGATGGGCTGGATGACGATGAACCATCCTTAGCCAACGGAGCATTTATGCCCAAGTGAGTTTATTTTTGTTAACATAAATTAATGTAAAGCATTAATGTACTAAATATAAAATAATGTGTATTTATTTAAATGCATACAAATGCTATAGTTATTTTTTAATTTGAAAAATATAGAACATAACAGAAAAATAAAAATGACTTCACTCCTGAGGATAACCATAATTAACATAAAAATATTCTGATTAATATGCTTTTAGTTTTACATATAAGTGTTTTTTTGCTTTGTTTTTTGAGAGGTTAGTGCTTGCATAATTTTATTTTAAGCAGAAGACATATTTTTCTTAGAACTCTAATTGGCCAAACTGATTAAGAAGAATATTTCTATATATATTTTTTGAAATTTCCATACATACAGCTGTTGAACCAATAAAATAATCACACAATAAAAAAGGAAGAGTTTAGAAGACTTGTTGGTAAACATTAGAAAATTAACACTTAAATTATGTATTAGAGCAAATATGCCCTAGAGTATTAATATATGCATGGAAGAAAAATACACATTAATTAAACTCATTACAGTTAACATCTGGAGATGTCACTTCAGGGCATTTTAGTTCTAGGTTGCTTATTTTTCTGGCTACATATTTAGACACACCTATACATAGGCTTTTAAACAGCAAGTACTTTTCTAACCAGAAAAAAACTGGTTTTAATTTTTTTGTTTGTTTTTGTTTTTGTTTTTGTTTTGGAGAAAAAGTTGGAATTCATCACTTGTAGTTCTTTGTCATTAATATTAACTTAAAAAATTCCTTTTTTCTTTCCTTAAAACTATGTTGGGTTGCTGCTTCAGAAAAGGTTGAAAGTCCTATTTTATACATTTCTTAGATCAGAATTAGGTTATTTTGAAGGTAAATACTGTGTATAATTCATGTTTATGTCTCCAGCATTTAGCAAATTGTTCGGCACAGAGTAGATCAAAAGGTCTTGGATTCACCTGTTCAATCATCTCCCAGGGCAATTTCACCAGGTCGCCTTAGGATTTGAAAGTATGATATAGATAGAAAGGATTCAGGTGGGAAGGTATATATTTTGCTGTTAATACTACATTCCCTTCTTCGTTTCCACTTCTGTGGTGTTGCTCTCAATAGTCTTCACTTAATGTATCAGAAGCATTTTATATATTGGGTTGTTGGAAATTCATGATATATTTTTTCTCTGTTTTTTATTTCAAAAATGCGTCATGACTTTCCTGACTACCCAGTAGTTCATCTCTCCTTCCTCCTTGATTTGCTTTAATTGGTTTGCAGGAACCCCACACTCTAGTTTTCTTCCTACCTTACTGGTCACTACTTCTGTCTCCGTTGCTGGTTCCTCTGGTTCCCCATCTTTTAAAATTGAAATGATCCTGGGATTAAATGATCCTGGGCTCAGTTCTTGATCACATTTTCTTTATTCCCAAAGTGATTTAATTTAGTTTCATCATTTTAAGTATCATCTATAGTCGAAAAAAGTCAAAGGATATACATAAAAGGTCAAGGATGATTCCCAAACTTGCATCTCCAGCCTTACCCCTCTCCCAAACACTGTATTCTTATATCAAACTCTACTCAACATTTCCACTTGGATGTCTATAATAGACATTTATTTCTAAATCAACATGTCCAACACTGAACCCCTGATTTTCCACCTCAGATCTGTTCCGTCCAAAACCTTCCCTATCTCAGATAATTGCATTTTCATAATTCTAGTGGCTCAGATGAAAAACTTTGGAATTATCCTTAATTTTTTTCATACACCTCATGCCCAAGCCATCAGCAAATTACCTTTGTTCTACCTTCAGGAGTTATTACCCAGACTCTGATCATTTCTT